ACTCGACTTCAGACACAAGTTTGTCCCGGCACTCGGAGAAGTTTTCCCGAGAAATATTGACACGAACGGTGTACAGCGCATCATTAGTGCTGTCACCGGTAACATTCGTAGCAATGAATGTTACCGGTTTGCAACATACCATTGATATACAAAAGAAACAGCGTTGGTGGCAGCACGCAGCCTTGTCGAACGCCAGCATTAACAGGCTTGTAATCGGAGCATGCACCGTCTACAACAACCTTAATGCTCCGATCTGCAAGCAAGCTGGTGATCCAATTGCGTAATTTTTCGGGAAGCCCATAGGAAGGGAGATTCGAAAGAAGCGAAGCCAAACCCGATCGAAGGCGTTTGCAATGTCCAAACTAACGGTCAATGCCTTCCCCTTGGACTCTACTGCCTCCGCCGTCGATGAGTCAGGTAACCAGAAGATCACCAGCTGATCACTGAGAGTATTGGCAGTCACTAATCAGCTGGTGATCCTCAAGGTACCGCATGAGCTGGCAGCTTATAATGGATTCCATTATTTTGGAGAACAGGGAGGTGATGGCGATAGGCCTGTAGTTAAACGAAGCTGAACAGTCGCCTTTTTTAGAGATCTAGTGGACGAAAGCCGCCTTCCATGATTTCGGGACTACGCCTAGGGAGTAGTAGTACCGGAAAAGATGCGTTAGAACTGGTGCCTACTCTGGAGCACACGTCCTCAGCACAATTGGGGGGATACCGTCAGGCCCACTCGACTTGTGGATCTCCAGGGAGAGGAGTGCTTTGCGAACCGAGCGCTGCGTAAACCGCACCTCCAGCATGGAGCACTAACACCGCAAGATGGTCAGCAGTGTGCTCCCACCGTCATCGAGAGTCAAGTTTGACGCAAATAAAGAGCCTAGTTAATCGGCCTCCTTTGAGGCATGGGCCAGTGAATCGTCCTCCCTGTGCAGAGATTGAAAAGATGGCTGACAGATGTTTCTTTGGACAGCCTTGGCGAGAGACCAGAATGCACCGGTTTCAGAAGGAAATCGAACTAGTTACTCGCCAATTCTGCCTGTGTGCTCTGATTTTGCCTTGGCAATGACTCTTTTGAAGGACCTGGAGGCGGAATTATACTTATTTTTTAGGGCGCTGGCGTTGATGCCTCAGTCCAGGCTCGGTAACACTCCTGCTTATAGCATGATGCTATTTTACAGGAGCGACTAAACTAAAAAACTGAGAAGGTAATACCTATGTATATTAAAATATATTAATGTATACGTTTATGTCTATTAAATTAAATCTATTAATATAATTGTTACAATTAAATGTTATATATAAATTATTATTACATGACAAATTATTCTTTTTAAATTTCTTGATAAAATTTTAATCGTATCTTATTTTATTTTTCTGTGGCAAACCCTTTATGTAAGGCAATGTAAACAAGATAATTTTATGTACATTTAAAATATTTAGGTTATCAATATATTTTAATAATTGTTTAAAATGCCTCTTATCCCAACAAGGATTATTAATGTGCTATTAGAACAAAATTACTTTTTAAGTTTATATTCTACACTTCATGGTACTGTCATGGAGTGTAGGTGAAAATAAGTATTAGATTCATTTATTACATATCATTACATATTAAGTAAGATTATTATTTAAATTATTATTTTGCACATATTATCCCCGATGAACTTGGTATGGAGCGCTGATACTCTCTCTCTCTCTCTCTCTCTCTCTCTCTCGCTCTCGCGCTCCTCATTTTATTTACATTACTTTATCAGATCATTCATGTCCAATATGTGTTCTTTTTTTCTCATCCTGAGTCGATACATATTTGTTTGATATAATTTGTAGGTAGGTTTTAAGTGATAAAACTTCTGAATTGAGATACTCTTTTTCAGTCTCATAACAGTTTTTCATATTTTAACCTCAATTCAATATAATTTAAGTTTATTACATACATTTATTTATTTTTATATTAATTTTAGTTTTGATTAACTTTTGCGCTTTGCTAACATATTCATTAATTTTTATGTATTTATTTTCTTCTACAAAATCATCAACAGTAAAATCGTTCTCGAGATTTAGAAAACAGTCATGCGAAGCCGGGGCGGATTGTTAGTCAACATTTAAAATTGAGATTAAATATGGAATCTTACTCGCTTATGTGCCGTATATCTGTCAAGAGCTAGTATTCATACCTCCCTACATAGGCTGCACTAAAATATCGGGAATGGAATATTTCCACTGTTCCTGTCATATTAAAATCTTTTTAATTAAAAACTCCTTGGTTTTAAAAATCAAATACCATTTATTTATTTAAAAAAAAAGATTCTCGGTCTTGTCACAAGGTTTTGTCAAACTTGTTTAGTCGTTGAGAAAATGGAATTGACTCGAGAAAATTCAAGAGCGATGATTTATTATGACTTTCGAAATAGTTTAACGCAAAAACAGTGTGTTGGCCGAATGATTTCTGCATTTGGTGATGAAGCCCCATTCAAAACCACAATTTATCGCTGGTTTGCTGAATTTCAACGTGGACGTGTCAAGCTCAGTGATGATCCCCGTCAAGGTCATCCAAACACTGCAGTCACCCAAGAAAACGTTGACGCTCTGCGTAAGCTGATTGAGGAAGATCGACATGTGACATACCGCGAAATTCAGGCAACTTTAAAAATTGGCATGAGTCAAATACAAATAATCTTGCATGAACAATTAGGTGTAAAAAAGTTGTTTACCCGATGGATACCGCATTCGATCTGTGAAGAGCAAAAAGCGGCTCGCGTTACTTCAGAGTGCGTCAGAACTCTCGAAAGATTCCACGCAGGATCCTCAAATGCTGTTTACAACATCGTATCAGGTGACGAATCCTGGATATATGCGTACGAACCCGAAACAAAAAACCAGTCACGAGTTTGGGTGACACAAATTGTTCAAAAACAAAAATTGTTCGTTCACGGAGTGTTGCAAAAAGAAATGGTGGCCATGTTTGTCTCCAAAACCGGCTATGTTACGACTATTCCTCTTGAGGGATAAAGAACGGTTAATGCAGAATGGTATACTAGCATTTGTTTGCCACAAGTCGTTTCTGAACTCCGTAAAGAAAACTGCAACCGCCGCATCATCCTCCATCATGACAATGCGAGTTCTCTTCGAAAACATAGAATTATTAGACCATCCGCCGTACAGCCTCGATAATCCCCTATGATTTCTATACTTTCCCTAAAATAAAGAATAAATTGCGTGGACAGAGATTTTCATCACCTAAAGAAGCTGGACGCCTACAAAACGGCCACTTTGGAGACCCCAACTTCCGAATGGAATGGTTGCTTCAATGATTGGTTCCATCGTATGGAAAAATGTGTCAAATTTCGCAGAGAATACTTCGAAAAGCAATAAATACATTTTTAAATAGTAATGCTGTGTCACTTCCTTAATTCCCAAAATTTTCAGTGCCGCCCTCGTATTAGTAGTATTCGTAATAACAGTTCAAAAACTCTCCACATCAGCGCTGGAGTAGCTAGAGGGTATGAAATGAACTTAGCAGTTGTCGACGAAGTGAAGTGTACTGAGTTGAGGAATTTAACATGTGTGGTGACTTGAGTAGTTGATGAAACAGCAGTATTCAAAATCTCAACTACTCACGTTGTCTAAAGTAATTTAGTAAATATAACCTAGAAAAAGTCACTAATATAATAATAAAATAGGTTGAGAGTAATTTTTAAAATAAAAATTTTGAAAACAATAAAATAATTATTTTAAAACAGAATTATGATGAAATTATGTATAGTAAACAGTTACAAAAAGTTTTTTTAAAGCTTACCCTTTAGCTACAGTGGCGCCAACCTTACTTAGCGCTTACCTACGGACACTTTTTAATACAGAGACGGTTATTCTTACCTCTACACTCTTTGAACTATAGAAACTAGATTACTAGACGAAAGTAATATATAGTAGTTTTGGCGGGAGCTTGACCGTCGACGAATTTTTTGCTCATGTTTTGATACGTAAAAGTAATGCGATTTTTTGTATTTAGTGTCTGTGCATCGGAACTATTAGAGAAAACGACGCAACAGGTGCTTTGATGTTGGTATAAACCTCAAATTATTTTGTTCGCTTAGGCGCCTTATGAACTTGAGTGATTCTCCGCTCGACTCTCCGCTGGATTGATCTGTCAATCTCCCAAAAACTTATCAAAAATGTGACGCATCAGCATATTGTGAAGAAAAAGACTATAAAAACGAAGATCCCGAAGGAGATGAAGTCGTTGCTTAAAGAACAAGCATCCAAGCCAAGAAATCTTAATAAAAAAACGAACCTGTCAAAGGGTACGTTCCGAAATACAACACAGTACACTGTTAAATGCTAATGACGTCATCAATTGACACTATATTGTACTGGCGTGTCGCCGCCATATTGCGTCGGATATCCGGCCACAATAAAACAATTTTTAATTATGTGTGCGCTGAATGAAGCATGCCAGAATTTGTTTCTATTTATTCAAATACAAAAAATTATAGAATAATTGCTGTTATATCCATTAGGAGGATATAATGATTTTTGGATCACAAAATGACAAAATAATCGCCAACACATCTAAATGGCGCAAAAGTATGACGTCATATACTGTCCAATATTTTGGAACGAACCACCAGTATAGCGTCGATTTATGACGTCATTTGCATTGGACAGTACACTGCGTTGTATTTCGGAACATACCCAAAATATTTTGATTTTTCATTTGAAGTTTGAACTTTTTGTTTTGACTTTTGAACTCCTTGTTTTGAAATTTCCATAGTACCTATGTAAACGGTTACAGATAATTTCCACTAAAATTTAGCCCCGCTCAACTTCGGAAGTATATTATATTTAATGGCAAATGGCCTACACTCGTTAATTTTGTCACCATACAAATGAAACGCGGTTTTTATGATAATTTTATTAGAACTTGTGCACTAAATCCTTCGAAAATCGCTGTACGACAGTACAATAATGGAACATATAACATTTACACGTACTCTGAATTGTATGGAGTGTGCGAATATATTTCACAAAGTCTATTGCAACTTAAATGTTACAAGGATGTTATAGGATTACTAACAGATAGAAATGTAATCGTTCCATGTGTCATAGCAGCGTAAGTTTGGACTAAAAATCAGTACCTAAAAGTTAATATGAGAAAAATAAGTGTTTTTAATTCGTAAACAGTACGATAATTTAGATAAAGCCATTAAAGTGTTATAAATCTAAACTTTACGGTCACTGTTAATTAATGCTTAAAAGTGTATTTATTTAAAAAATTGGACTGCTAGATAAGATGCCATTTTATGTTTCAGGGTTCACAAATGCTGTAATACATTTATGTTTTTAGATCCTTCACAAACTACTAAAACTGTACCAAGTGATTTAAAATTCAAGATAATTATTTCTATTAAGAATAACGACAGTCATACTGATTTCAAACTATTTGATAAAAAACCAGATAAGATAATATCTGTTTTCAATTACTCAATCAATTTTTACAACCAAGATACTACTTGCAATTTGCTAAGTACAGGATGTATATCAGGGCATTCTTTTATAGCTGCAACATCAGGTAGCACAGGAGACAGAAAATACATTCAAGTCCCAGTCCAGTGCATTCAACCAAATATAGATGACTTAACTAAATTATTTAATATTCAGTCTAATGATATTATATATTTTTCAACACCACTTACATTTGATCCTTCCATGATTGAAATTTTGTTAGCTTGTAAAAATGGAGCATCACTTTTAATAGCACCTGAAAAGATTGATATTTTATTTCCTAAGAACCAGCAAAATTCCATAACTATTTGGCAGACAACTCCCTCAAAATTCTTTCAATACTCGAACAGTGAAATACAAAATACCATTTTAAGTGCTTGCTCTACTTTAAAAATATTAGCACTTGGTGGTGAACCATTGAATGGTATTAACAGATTAAGAAAATCTAAGCATTTGAATAACATTACTCGAATATTTACATTATATGGAGTTACAGAAATGTCTTGTTGGGCTTGTGTAGCAGAGCTTGAATTAAGTAAAATGATCATAGACCGTGAAGTGCCATTGGGCAATTGTCTTTCAGAAACTCAGGTGCATATTGATACAGAGAATTCAAAAAGTAATTCTGGTAGAATAATACTAGGTAAGAATTTATATAAAAAATATATTGTTATTATAGCATGATATTATTAAATAAAAAAAATCGCTATGTGGTAGAGCCATGCTGCAGCTATATTAGTTGTAGCACAAATGGGTTGGCTCGACTGGGGCAGAACCACACTCTCACAGAATACCAGCGTAAAAAGCAGCTAAAGGCTGTTGTGTTTCATGTGGTGAATGTAGAGAACTGGAGACCCGTTTTTACTGAAAATGGGGCATTCCACCATAGTCCTCAGAGGTGCCGATGCATCTGCATTTTAATTCTTAATCAAGGATAAATGTAGATGTCTATGAGTCACAGCTTCCACTTACCATCAGGTGGTTTGTGTGCTTGTTTGTCACCCTTATTCTTTGGGAAATGGAAAATAAAAACCTGCATGTCTGAGAAATAAGCGGGCTACATACGACACGATATCGGTGGCGATCTACGGTGGGGTAGTGGGGATGCCTCCTAGATTGCCTCTAAATCGTCTCGTATGTAGGGCCATCCTAAGTCGTGGCCGATATCGCCTCCTTAATCGGCTGGCAGGAGCAAAAATGCTTCCTAGATCAGCCGATGCTTCCTAGATCGGGGCACCGCCCCCTCCTTACTGCGTGTGTGTAGGCGCATCGGCCCGATTTCTTTTGGCAGTCGCTGCCGGCAACCCTCGCGGAAGGAAGTTAACAAAACAGTGATACTGAATGACCTTTTTTATATAACAATATTTTTACATTTTAATCATATAAACGGAGTAGAAGCCTATGGCACTGATATTTTACAAAAAACCAAAAAAAGTGAATAAAATAAATAAATTAATTGAAATTTTATCGAAATTCAAATCATATCCACCCTAGCTTGTGACCCTGCGAAGTGACATGGTCAAGAATGCCTACTAAACTAATTTTTTTATTGCCGTTCGTAAAGTAGAGTGTATGATGTAAGTAAGGAGAAGATAAAGCCTCTCGTCAACAACTAACTCCTATTCCAACGCTATCAACACAAGACCGCACTCATATCTCTTACAACTCCACAAGACCACACTTCGATCTCTTACGTGCCTTCATCCTCTTATCAACAACTAACTTCTACTCCTTCACCATCTCCACATCAACAAACAAGTTATATAAAAGGGAGTATGTCCGAAATTAAAGGTTTCTTTATGTTTAAAAAAAGATATAAGCTATTTTATTTTCTGATAGTTTTACTCCATAAATAAAGATTACATTAAAAAAAAAGTATACATATTATTATACAAAAGTATTTTATTTCCTTGTTTGTTGTGTGTATATAATCAGATTTTGACCAAAGCAGAAATGAACAAAGAGAAGAAATAACTAAATAGCATAGGTAGGAGAAATTGACGTTTTTATATAAGTGGCGAATCATTTCTAGAAGGTTATAAAACTGTCTTCATCCATCCAGAGAAAATTAATCACGTCCTTGGATTACAGGCCAATTAGTACGTTTATGTGGCTTAATTTTTATCTCTTTTGGAGCCATTTTTTCACCCAGCAACTTCTCTTTTTCTATTTTCGAATAAATTAACCGAGAGGGCTAATGCCAAACCAACACGTTGGTGTTTTAAAAGAATTGAAACTATTTTGAAGAAATCTACCGCATATGCGTTCCGCTCCAAGTCCGACACGCGTACTGCTAGGCAGGCCCGTGTGTAGGGTCTGCCCCGATATAAGCCCCGATTTCTTTCCACCCTAGATCGCCACCGATATCGTGTCGTATGTAGCCCGCTATAAGAAAAAAATAATATTTCGAATATGTAAAGTTTACAGAAAATTAATAATTTATTAATAATTTTAATCTATGGTGACAGCAGTTAACTTATGACATCTGGGCGTAGAACATCTCATTCCCCCCTGTGACCACGGGTGCTGTAAAGTGCTCGTAACGTCGGGTATATATATATATACATATATATATATATATATATATATATATAAATATAAAAAAAAAGTAATATACTTAATATAATCTGTAAAAAATTAGTTTTATTTAAAAGTTTACTAGAATAATTTTTACGATAATGATGTTTTGATATTAATGATAATGATGAATAAATTGCTCATCAGCTTGTCACCAATCATCAATGCCTCACATTGGCCTCTTTTAGAGGATGGGAACAATTTACTGTAATTACTTATCCAGACTGTGTTAATTATAAAGAAAAAGAGTTGTATCTTTATGTGAAAAACAAGCATGCAATGCAGTTCTTTATAATAAGTATCTACAATAGCTCATTAACACTAGCAAATAACTTTAAACCAAGAAGGCTACATATGCTTTGTTGTCACCCATGAGGACTAAGACGGAAGCCTCATAGACTGTAACTGTGTCACTTGGAGGCAAACTTTAAAAAAGTTTGTGTTTCATTTTTGTTCAAAACCTTTTACTTTTGCAAGTGAAGTGTAAAAGATAAAATTCGACATCAAACAATTGATGTGAATAGAGTGATATCATAATTACCCTACCAATTGACTCCATGCCCAATGCACTGAGTATTCAAATGAACAAGATATAAAAAAACATGTGTATATTATGAGATATATATTTATTTATAGATATAGTTACATACTAGCTTTTACTTAAATTAAAACTATTATCTCGAATCATCATCATCATTACAGCCCTTCACAAGTCCACTGCTGAACATAGGTCTCCCCCAAGGAATGCCACAAAGCACGGTCCTGAGCTACCTGCATTAATCAACTTCCTGCATGTCTTACTAGGTTGTCACTCCGTCTAGTGGGGGTCGCCCTAAGGGTCATTCCATATAATTTCAACACAATGCAAAAACCCTATCTTGTGGCACATCATATTAAAGCCCCATTCAACAGCTTTAAAATGAGATCTTTCCCAGGTTTTCATCATCAGTGGTTGTCAGTCTATAGGCATCCAAAGGTGCCAAAACATGATTTTTTTTCATAAAATCTTAAATCTTTAAAAAATTAATAACTTCAAAAATAGTTGTGCTACATAACTTATATTTGGTATTTTTCATAAGTCTATGATAATGCTGCATAAAAAAATCATGAAAATCTGAGACATCAAGTCACAGACACTTCGCCTACCGATACAAGGCTACCATTTGAGAACCATCTTGTCCCATCAGTTGTCAGTTCTTCAAGCTATATTTTGCCACTTCAGCTTACTAATCCGTTGGGCTATGTTGTTCACTCTGGTTCCACTTCGGATATCCTCATTTCTAAGCTTATCGTGCAGAGAAACCCCGAGTATAGCCATCTCCATAGCTGACTGAGCTACTTTGAGCGTCCCCATACAGCCAGCAATGAAGGACTAAATCTCAGATCCATAAGTTATCACTTATCACTGGCAACACGCATTGTTTGTACAATCTCGTTTTCAAGTTTTGAGGTATACCTGACGAGAAGATGTTTCGTAATTTCCCAATCACTGCCCAGCCGAGTTGAATCTGTCGATAGACCTCTCAGTCGAAGTTGGACTTACCTAGTCGGACTATTTGTCCTAGGTAAACATACTCGTCAACAACTTCGAGCTTAGTGCTCCCAACAAATACTGGCATACGTGTGACATGGACATTGAACATGATCTTTGTTTTGTCCATGTTCGTCTTCAGACCTATCAGTTGGGAGGGTAATCGAATAGTTTTGTGTTCTGTGATGGGTCTTACAGAACTTAGCTCCAACCTTATGGACAGTTTCCACAAGCTTGTCATCCATATCATCCACTGTATTGTAGACTTTTGGGCACTGAAAATGGTTTTGTAACTGAAACTAAAAGTTTTTGGGATTTTGGATTAGAGCACGCGGGGTACGGAGCGTTGACTTCATTAGACGAGACCTCTCCAACTTAACGTTTATGTTCAGTGTGCCTCTAACCATTCGGTGATCACTGCCAGTTTTCACCCTCGCGATCACTGAACAGTATGCCTCTACTTATAATAATGAAGTCAATCTCATTTTTTGTCGAACCGTCGGGGCTTGACCAGGTCCATTTCAGGCTCGCTTCTGAAAGAATGAGTTCATCATAAAGAGTCCCTCTTTCTCGATGAAGTCGGTCAGCCGCTGTCCCCTTGGGTCTCATTGCCCTGTTCCAAATTTCCCTACTCTCAGCTCATCGTTTTTTCTTGTGACTAGTTTTTCGTTGAAGTCTCCCATTAACACCATATAGTGGGTTTTGGAGGAATGCATGGCTTTAAAGATATCTTCATACATTTCCTCCCACCTGCTTACGAGATGTGTCGAGGTTGGTGCGTAAACCTTTATGACCTTAAACGAATATCGTTTGGTGATTCTGAGTATAAAGTACGCAACCCTCGGCGACACACTCACAATATTTACAACGTTGTTAACAAGACTTATGGGCGATAAATCCGACACCTCCTTAGGACAGATGATCGCCCTCCCGGTGATACTGTGATTACCGTACCCTTCGCTCACTTCGGATCTTAAATAATCCTATACGATCCCAGCGCAGCTTGTCTATCTCTTCTTCCAGCTCCAGGATCTTCTCGTCAGTTCTCTGATTCGTGCGTTAAATGTTGCCAGGTCGAGCTGCCTTAGGTGGCAACCAAACCTCCACCGGAGATTCTTAGCACCCCTTGTCCAGCCGTTACCCTGGTCACCACCGTAGCCAGGAATACCGGGTCCGCCGGGGACTGGAGGCCGTTTATTTGTGTTGCTGCTCATGAGGGGTTGTTTGCCATATTTGCCACGCTTGGCGAGCGGGTTGGTAACCGCAGTTTTTATCCTGCCTGTTTCCATCTGTTGCGTCTTACGACATCCGCGGGAAGATATGGGGTAGTGAATATTCTTAACCGCCACTACACGTCATTATCTTAAAATTTATTAATTGTACACAGAAAATTATCTCGAAAACTGGGAAAATATTTAAAATAAAATTAAAATAAAATGAAATCGGTTTCCCAAGGGTCTACATAAACGAAAACTGATTTTGGGGGTTGGCGAAATCTAAAAATCGACTCTTGCGATTTTAATGCATTTTCTTTTTTCAAAAAATAATTTTCTACTTAGTATTTTTACGTAATTTGTAATTTTATGTCTATTTATTTTGTTAAATTTTGATGAGAAAATGTTGTCAAGTTTACTCACTTAACAAGCCGCAAAGTTTTTAAATTGGTAGGTATTTTGTATTAATAGGAAAAAACTGGAGATTGGATTTTTAAAGTAATTTGGCTATGGCAGAGATGTCAGTTCAATTTGGAAAAGGGGTATCTTGCACAAAATATATAGTTTGGGAATCCCTGCTCTAAATAAACCTTGTTTCAGTTACGATTTAAAAAAAATCGTATGTTTTTTCTAATTAAATTACAGTCTTGGTCCCTTCTAGCCTTGCTCACTATCTGTTTGTAGAGTTATATATATATATATATATATATATATATAATATATATAAAACAAAATATATATAAGATTATTAATTATTCTTATGTAGTTTATACTAAAAATAATTATTTACATTTCCAGTGAGTAATACACGGAAATGCGTTGTTCTGAACTCCGGTAATAATGGTGAGGAATGTTCTTTAAAATTCATTGATACTGGAGACATTGGGGAAGTTACCCAAGGTACCATTTACTACAGAGGTCGTAAAGATGATACTATAAAGAGATTCGGGAATAAAGTTAACCTTCAGTTTATTGAGAATAATATTATGGAGCATTCAGGCTTGAAGACATGCTCTTGTATTTGGTTGCCTAAGCTTATGCTACTTGTGGTATATTTCTCATCAGAAACTGTCAGTTGTCAAGAACTTTCCGATTATATAAAGAGTAAACTTGAAGATAAATATTGGCCAGACAAAATTATAAAGGTTGACAGTTTACCTATTAATGCACATGGAAAAACATCAAAGCAAATTCTATCCAAAATGTTTGAAGGAGATTTAGTAGCACCAAAAATGAAGAACTCACCAAGTTTGGCTTTCCAGCAAGAACTTACATTATTATTGAGAAATAAGTTTATTATTGACGAAATAAAAGACAAAACTTTCTTTTCAATTGGTGGCACATCTTTCCTAGCTATTACTATATGTAATAAACTTTCTCTGTTGTATCCTCAACTGGGAAGTCTAATTTTGCCATATTTAATTGAAAATAAAAATACTGTACAAGATATCATTCAAATGATTGAAAAAGAATATGTTGATGAGAAAAAAATATCAAAAAAGAGAACCAAAAGACCCGAGTCTAGATCAAAAAGATTTGCACCTAATCGGGGTATGAAGGAAATACTAGATAAAAATAAAGCTCTTGTACAGTTTGAAGAACTGTGGAAATATGACACTGGAAAATGTGTAGATGCTTCTCCAACATTATATGTAACTAAACAGTAAGTTAATCATTTCTACATAATTTCTAATTCATTTCTACGCGTAGACAGCGACGACCATCCGCGCGTCTACGGGTGCCTCTATAGGTCCCATAGCGGTAAATCCGAAACAGACCGACTCTTCGACCACGTCCAAACGGCTACAGATTCTTTGCTACAGCAGATCCCCTCCGCAGAGATCGTGATCCTCGGCGACTTTAACGCCCATCACGCCGAATGGCTTGGTTCACGTTCTGATCTGTTCATGATCTGTTGAGATCTGTTCATGATCTTGCCTTGGCATATGATCAGACACAACTGGTTACTTCGCCTACGCGGACTCCAGATTATACACCTTCCCTGTTGGACCTTTTGCCGACCTCTCATCCGGACGGATATCAGATTTCCGTCGACGCCCCTTTAGGCTCCTCGGACCATTGTCTTGTCCGGAGTGTGGTGCCACTCACGCTGAAATCGCGGTTGCATTCTGCAGGCTGACGCCGTGTTTGGCACTATAGGTCAGCCGATTGGGATAGGATGCAATTTTTCTTTGCATCCTACCCTTGGGGGCGGGTTTGCTTCTCACCGGATGATCATAACGTTGTTGCTGATTCTGTCGCTGATGTGGTATTTCAGGGTATGGAACTTTTTATTCCTTCCTCTGTGGTGCCCATCGGAAGCAAATTTCAGCCATGGTTTAGTCGCTTCTGTAAAATAGCATCATGCTATAAGCAGGAGCGCTATCAAGCCTGGGCTGATGCATCAACGTTCAGGGATGTAACACCAGCGCTCTTAAAAAAAAGAAGTATAATTCCGCCTCCAGGTCCTTCAAATGACTCATTGCCAAGGCAAAGTCAGAGCACAGGCAGAATTGGCGAGAAGCTAGTTCACCTTCCTTCTGGAACCCGTGCATTCTGGCCTCTCGCCAAGGCTGTCCAGGGGAATTTCTGTCAACCATCTCTTCCATCTCTGCACTGGGAGGACAACTCACTGGCTTATGCCGCAAAGGAGAAAGCCGATCTGCCTCAACTCATCCAATCGCCGCCGACCATCACGCGGTGTGAGTGCTCCATGCTAGGGGTGCGGTTTACGCAGCGCTTGGTTCGCAAAGCACTCCTCTTCCTGGACATCCACAATGGGTATCCCCCTAATTGTGCTGAGGACGTGTGCTCCAGATTTGGCACTGGTCTTAACGCGTCTTTTCCGGTATTCTTACTCTGGGCGTAGTCTCAAAATCACGGAAGATGGCTTTCGTCTACCCGATCCCTAAAAAAGGCGATCGCTTAGACCGGTCCAACTATGGCCCATCGCCATCACCTCCTTGTTATCCAAAACAATGGAATCCATTGTAAACTGCCAGCTCATGAGGTACTTTGAGAATCACCAGCTGATTAGTGATCGCCAATACGGTTTTCGTCGTGGTCGATCAGCTGATGATCTTCTGGTCTACCTGACTCATAGATGGGTGGCGGCAGTAGAGTCCAAGGGGGAGGCATTGGCCGTTAGTTTGGACATTGCGAAGGCCTTCGAATCGGGTTTGGCACAAAGCGCTTCTTTCGAAGCTCCCTTCCTATGGGCTTCCCGAGAAATTGTGCAATTGGATCACCAGCTTTCTTGCAGATCGGAGCATCAAGATCGTCGTAGACGGTGCAAGCTCCGATTGCAAGCCTATTAATGCTGGTGTTCCACAAGGCTGCGTGCTATCACCAACGCTGTTTCTTCTGCATATCAATGAATGTTGCAAACCTGCAACATTCATTTCAATGCAGATGATAGCACTGATGATGCCCTGTAAGCCGGCCGTGCCAATATTTCTCGGGAAAACGTCTCCCGAGTACCGGGACAAACTTGTGCCTGAAGTCGAATCTTTGCTGAACAAAGTCTCGGATTGAGGGCGACTAAATCTAGTCCAGTTTAACCCTCAGAAGACATAAGTTTGCGCGTTAACCACTAAAAAGAACCCCATTTGTCCACGAAAAAAAATACCATACACACCATCTTGATGCTTGGCGGTCCACCACTGTACGTTTCACTAGGAGTTTTCTTTCGCGTACGACCTCTTTGTGGAATAGTTTACCATTGGCGATTTTTCCGGGCCGATACGATCTGGGGACCTTCAAAAAAGGAGCTTACTCCTTTCTAAAGGGCCAGCAACGCACTTGCGATTCCCCTGGTGTTGCGGTTGTTCATGGGCGGCGGTAGTCACTTACCATCAGGTGAGCCGTATGCTCGTTTGCCCCCTCTTCTATAAATAAAATGTATAAAATACAAAAATCTAAATATGAATTTAATTTTAATTTATTTGCCAGGTTTTTTTAATATTTTGCGAATACCGTTAATATTTTTATTATCTGATTTATGTTAGCCGCCTATTTCGATTTTGCCATTACCCTTTCCCGTACTTCCCTGATGCCGCGGCCACATACATCGATATAACTAATATTCGCGTTATCGCGGTGTATGTGGCCGACCATACGTGAATACTTCGTCACTTTGTGCGAAGTCGCAAGCACATCGCTTCGTTGTCAGTAAACTCTTACAAGCGTTTTGTCGCGATGGCGCTTGTGCAGCCACACTTCAGTCTGCCCACAAAAGTCATGCGTAGCGGAAGTGTTAAAGTAAATTGGGGTTTGCGACATATTTTCGACAATGACAATTTTTGTAAGTGATGAAAAGATGAATAATTTTTTGAGATATTTTGAAAAACGTATACAGGCGTATAAAGATGTCCTCTGTTGCCAAAAACCTAGTAAAAATATCATTCGCTGCAATATAATATAGAGCGACCGCGGCGTCTGTTTTATGTTTAGCGTGTGCTTATCGCGATAAACGTTACAACGCGCAGCTTGGCCATGCACCTTCGCCGTAGGCCGAAAGCAAAGTTTTGTCGCGATAATTCTATCGCGATGTGGGTAGCCTGGACATGACAAACGATGCTTGGTGATTGATTGGATGATTTAAACAAAAACTTTTTTTTTGTAAATAGACTTACGGTTGTACTTTTGCCAGCGTCTAGTTATAAGAACTTATCTTTTAAAGTAATATATTTAAAATCTTCCTTGCAATAAGTTGATGTGACATATTATGGATTTTTTGGGAGATTTTGACAGCAAGTTTAACCAGCAGACAGTCGATGACGATAATAACTCAAGGCACCTAAGCGTACACAATAACTTGATGTTCGCATCACCATTGCAGCATTTGTATCTTCGTTTCAATTAATAGTTTACACAGGCATTTAATATACAAAATCGCACCCTTTTATGTATCAAAATCTACTTCAAACCATTATTTAAGCAATGATACGGGCTGTAATTCACAGGCGTTTGAGTTCCTGCCGAAATCCCTCACTAAATTAATTACCACTGAATCCCCAATGTTTTTCTTTTGTTAACGGTACCAGTGACCATGACGTTGTAACGACTGACGTCGGCACACTCAAAACAAACAATAGTATTCTTACTATAATAATGCGAGAAATTTGTTTCAAATATCCCATTTACGACCAAAAGATTTCATTGCACGCGAGCAAACCGAGTTCGATTCTCGCCGGTAACAATAAAATTGTTAATAGCTGATTTATAATATGCATTAATTTGTTACGTGTTCCTTGGTAAAAAAAAAACCTGCATGTCTCTTAATTTTTTTTTTGTAGCATTGGTGATAAACGAGCACACATTCCACCTGATGGTAAGTGAATGCTGTGGCCCATAGACATTCATTCTCAATTAAGAATCAAAATGTAAATTCATTGTCCCCCTGAGGACTAATGTAGAATGCCTCAATTTCAGTAAAAAGGGTTTCCGGTTCTCTACACTCACCATACAAAACACAGTAGCATTACGCTGCTATTTTACGCTGGTACTCTGTGAGACCGTGGACCATGGGTTGTGTTTTGTTTGTTTAGGTTTATATTACGTTTTCTGATTGATCTGCTATGTATGGATCTCTTCTTTGTCATGAGTGTAGAATTTTTGAGATGGTTCTTCGGATTAGATGATTTAAGGGAGTTCCAGTGAAATATCGGTTCTAAGATACTGCTTCCAAATATTAGTAGAATTTTATAAGTTCCTAGTCATGTTGCTGTTTACTTCGATTGTAACGTAACAAAAAAATGTATACCTGCTTGATGTTTTTTCACCGAAAATATCACTCCATAAAATCAAAGAATTTACTGATATTTCCGGAACCTTTTTTAATCACTGACAGTCCGTTCGAAAAGAAACTTAATCGACTAGGTATTAACATTGAAGTAATTCATTTTCAGGAAGGCATTCGTTTCTGTAAGTAGTCATTCGGGGAAAATTCTTGTAGTGGACGCAGTCACCGGAAATATACAGGGAACTATGAAGATTAATTCACGAATAGAGGCATCAGTATTTTGCTTTGACAATGAGGCGAATGGACATTGTGGTGTTGTTGGCTCATATGATGGTACTATAGAATGTTTTACATTAGAGAATTGTGAGGAGGTCTGGAAAATTAATATTGGTTCTATGGTAAAGAGTAAAGCTACATGTTGCAACGGCATGCTCTATGTTGCTTCATATGATGGAGCAATACGCTGCATTGACATAAAGGTAAGTTGACAATTTTCATTTCTCGGTTAACTGTTGATATTTTTGAGGAAACAGGAAGCCGAGTATGCGCGCGCTATTTGATTTGACCAGTAAGCACGCGTGTTGGTAGTAAAGTGTACTCTTAAATAAGCTAATTTAAAAAATAAATGACTTTTTTGGGGATATAATGTAATATAATTGTTATATAATGTTAATGATGCTTTTTACTAAGGACAGATGTTACACATCGTATGCGAGTACTGTAAGGATCGCTCGTTTTTTTATTAATAAAACTAGCCTACAATTTACAAAGTTCGCCTGATGTTAAGTGGCTGCTGCTGCCCATATAACTAACTTCAAATAAAGAAGGCCGCAGATAGGTTGTCACCCCTAAGGATGAAATGAAATGAAATGCCTTAGTCTATGATTACACTGGCTCTATTCCCTTAAGACCGGAAAATAACAGTGCAAGCACTGTTATTTGGTGATTATAGGCTATAGGAACAGTAATAGGAAAGTATACAGGGTGTTAGTGTAAACACCGTTATCCTTGAAAGCAGTGGTTTGGTTTCACTTATAGAACGTAAATTCAATGAAAAATAACATTTTTATTTAGTAAAATCTCGATTTTTCCATAATTCCTCAATTTTTGCCTGTCCTAAGCCAGGATGAAAGTGGGAAGAAAAAGTTACATCACATGTATGTATATCTATTGTGTTTTTATTGGAATGTAGTGTAGGTAGCTAGCGCGAGCGGTGATCTTTATAGTGATTACGTCACTCGGGTGCATAGGGTATCCATGAATTTACGGACGGTGTCGGACAGAAACATTTTAAATTTTATGAAAGAAAATAGCGTTTTTTTTTAATTCATTGAATTTACATTCTATAAGTGAAAACAAACCACTGGTTTCAAGGATAACGGTGTTTACACTAACAACCTGTATATACCATTTAATTATTGTATATTAAAAATGTTGCAGAACTTGCATGTATAAATAATACAGATTATAAATTGTAAAACAAGGCTGTTTTGCCATTTCTCTAATTAATTATTTCAAAATAAAAATAAACTTGATTTTTATTAAAAACTTAATCAGGTGCAAATTAGACGTAGCAGTAGTTTGATTACAGGCTAATTAATAGTGATGAGAGTAATAAAATAATATATCATCATGATTGAGATTTCCACGAACCAGAACTTTGAGCGGTTCGTTGAGTTCAGGGCAAAACCAGCTGCTAGTAAATTAAATGTCCTTGCAAAGTCGCGGCGATACTTCACGCTAGGACAGTTGCTTTCACTATAAATAGGTAAAACAGACTGTCCGATCTGAAATGAGAAAATAGATACAGCAATGACATTATAAAAAATTAAAACATAATATTATTTTCTATTGAAAATAAAAAATTTATTATTATTAAATATGGGTAAGGTCGTAAAAAAGTGTAAATAACGCACTGGAAGATATAACACACGATAACACAATAACGTACTGGAATAATATAAAGGTCAATGTTCACTTGGAAAAAGGTTTAATTAAAATCCATTTTAAAATATTATCAATTACTTATTTTCATGAAATTAAGATTAAATAATCAAAAACAAATCTTAGAATATGCATATCTTGCATGTTTGCGAAACTAAACATTGGTGTTAAAAATAACACAACACAGTAGAATTAAAGCCTTTAACAAAATAATGTGCTTACAAAAAACAGTAGCTACTAATCAAAGTAGATTATTCATAAAAGAAATATAACGAATTTAACAAATATGTGTTTACGTTTACAATTAGTACAGATACCGTAATTTTTACCATTTATCACAGAATTTTGTTTTACTGTTTTTTTTTAATTATAAGGGCTATCCCATTTGAGACTATTCGCGTTCGCACAGAGCCATATTTAAGAAGAAATTGAAATTTAAAAATGCGTTTTTTTAATGTAATCAATAGGCGAACTATAATATAGTATTAATTTAATATGTAATGATTTAAAAAAGAAATTTTTTGTGTTTATCTAATCCAAAATGTGTTTTTAGCAATAACTTATTTATATTTTGCTATTTAATAAAATTTAAAAAAATGCTTCTTATCATTTAAACATTTTTTATATTATGGTCCTGTGCTAGTCGAAAAGTTGACGAAAGGTGACGACCTCTTAATTAAAACGGACCTAGTTCGGCTACTGAGGGACCACTAGTAATAATAAATCAGAATAGTATAAACACTCCACTCTTATGTAGGTACATCAGAATAACATTACACCCTTTTCATTTCACCGTAGTCGGTTAAGTTATGTGAACAGCCTCCTTTATAAAATTCCAGTGTGTGACATAACAAACACCATAACACACGTAATGAACGAACGAACATACACTCGAAAATTCAAACTCAACAATGAATACCGGTAATAAATGATGCGCGATTTACTTAATAAAACTTGACATACACTGGTAATTGACTATAAATTTCGCAAGGAATCTAGTAAACAATATCTTTGTACTTCTCACGTAGAATTGACATTACACTGCCCGAAATTTGTGCTCTAAATTATGGAATTTACAATTGTTTACGGTCACGACTACAAATGAAAAAAATATGTCAAAACTGACATTTGACAGTAAGCCTACGGCATTGCCTCATCGAAATTAGGTCAATAATGTTGTTTAATGTTGAAAACAAAAAATCTATCCCATATCGAATCGGAGTAACACACTGGATAACTTTTGGTAGACATAAATTAGAATGAGGTTTTTTTCCACTAGCATTGTATTATTGCAATAATTTATACATTATCACACGGCATCTTTGTTGATTTCAAAGTAAACTACAATTTTAAAACCATAATGCTATATTATTTTTATTTGTTGCATTTTTTCGTCCCGTAAGTTGATAGGAGACAAATAAATTTTGTATGCAGCTTTATTTTGTTGATTCAAAAATATTTTTTATTTTTGATGTTTAAGCCTCTTCAATATTATGGTTATTTCTACATTATTCCAAACATGATTATCAATGTTTTATTAATTAATAATATTATCATACTTTTCGTTAGCGTATGGTATTCACAATCAAACATGGGCCCACTCAAAACTTTCAAAAAGTACATTTTTTTACGACCTTACCCATATACGTTTTACAATTTGCTTAAAATTCGGAAATTTATTAAAATCTGGCAACACCGCTGTCACGTTATCCAACGGCCGCCCGAGTCGTATGTATTGTCATGTCTTTTGCGGAGCATTTTTTTATTTATTGATAAAACTGTAACTGGTTTTATTTGCTCGAACCTTCTACTCTATCTATGTGGCCCTGGAGTCTTACAATCCTCGTCGAATATAAATCTTAGCTAATTATTAATAAAATAGGCTTTCGCAATATAACACCAGATTCTATTAATTAATTCGGAAGATCGTTAATCTTCAATGAACTGGGGTGGATCACTACTTGGTGGGATTTAAGTCAAGCACTGGTTCATAATTGTGAAAAAAAAACATCCTATCTCTGTGGAGTCTTCCAATCCAAAGAGTTAATGGAAGTAGTGGAGTGTCACGAAAACATTACTGCTTACTTATTGACATATTGTAGAACTCTACTGCCGAAGTGTTCTTCCAAAGGCGTGTTTGTTCTTAACAATGAACATGGACAAAACGAAGAAAGACCCTGTGTAATGTCTATGACTGCGTAACGTCTATCGTTTGTATATGTTTTAATATTATATCTTAGTTCTCACGGGTGACAACGCATCTGATTTTGATTCGTAATCGAGGATAGATGTATATGTATATGGACCACATCAACAACTTACCATCAGGTGAATTGTGTGCTCGTTTGTCACCCTTATGCTATGGAAAAAAGGCCATCCCAATTAATTATACCTCCTGTACACCTGAGTGTTTCTTAGCTGAGCACACACTCGTGTACTATAATCCTGTTCTGAGCGGATGGCTAGTGTTCATTGTGACTGGCCGCCATTTCCGAAATTAAGTCTGGAAGACAATATAACAAAGAAGGAACTGCTAAAAATTTGTTTTATAACGAATGTATTATTTAGATATATACAAAACGTATGTTTCTTTGACAACAAGAAATTAGGAATGTTATGTTTAGAGAGCTCATAAAAAGAACTTCAATTGACATGAGTTTCGTATATCCAATTCAGTCTACTAAAATAATAACCCATTGACTTCAAATAAGAACTTGTGGACAAAACTTGTGATAAATTGTTTCGAAACCCTCATTGTGCGACGCTGATAAATCCTGCGATGAATTTTTTTCTGGAAGTCTTCGTTGTGCAGAATTGCTTTATAGACGATTAGTACTTTTTCCAGTGACAATTGGAAGTTATATGGTATGGTATTGGTTTATGATAATTAGTTAACAAAGTTCTTGGAAATATGTAATAAATAATTGATGTAAATACTTAATTTACATTGGGAATTTTGGAAAATTCTGACTACAGCTTAACCTAGCTGACAATCGATGACGATGTTATCTCTTGGTATACGTAGATATCTAAAACGCCTGGGAAACTTTTTTATTTCGTTATGTATATGTTCCTTACCTCCGACGCTCAGTAATATTTGGCAGCGATCAATGGAACGCCATATCTTGAATCTGAAGTTGCAGATAGGGTATAAAACACGACATTGAATACTTATGTGCTGTGAAACTAAAATTGTTGACAATGAAAAAACGTCACAAGATGAAGTGAGATTGCCCCAGTTACATTTGCTGCATGGATAAAGCCGAAATTCGTGATTGAATGTTTGCCTGATTTACAGAGGCAGCGTGGCCTCGTAGTGAGGATTCCCTCCTTTCTCTTTCCTTCTTTGTTAATTGGGTAAACAAAATAAAAATAGGGATATTATATGAGGAGCGAAGATTCAGACCTTTGTCCCTGTATGGAAAAATTGACTACATAATACACAATCATTAGGTAATATCACAAACCGTTAATGAATCCACTACATTCGTCGAGTGGGTATCGTAAAAGTGAAACTAAAGCTAGAATTAAGCAG